TATATAAACGAATTTTGGGAAGATCCAGCACTTATCTTTGATTTTATGAATCCATGTAAACCGAACATTTCATTCGATGAAACTGTCTTACAAAAACTTTGGATACCAAATACATGCTTCATTAATTCGAAAAATGCTGCCATACATGAATCACCATTTAGGTTAATTAATTAATTAACATTTTAATTATATTCTTCTTTTTGGCAGAAATTACGCTTTTTGTTTCTTCCTTATACAATATCATCTTTATAAATTTTATGAAAATACATTTTGTAACAATGTATTTTTTCACATTTTCAAATTAAATTTTAAACTATACAATAATTATTTAATTCATTACTCGAAAAATTACTCCTAAATAAAATATGCAATGTTTTGATAATTTGAAAATTTGTCAGTTTTTTTTTTTGAAAGTTATTAAATTGTAATTTAATTTAATTAATTTATTTAGGAATGTTTTCCTAATGGTTTTTGAAAATGGTACATTATGGACCAATTATCGGATGAAATTAACTGGTCCATGTGATATGAATTTGAAACGATTTCCATTCGATCAACAAAAATGCTTTCTTACTTTCGAATCGTATGTTTAGAAATTCTTTCAATTCTTCCTTTTTTTTTTCGAAATAAATTAAGTTTAATTGAAATATTCCAAACAAAGTAATACTTTATCATCTTAAACACTTTCAAAAATAAAATAAAAAAAAAATTATGATTAATATTTCGATAATAATTGTAGATTTAATTATAACATTGGTGAGGTACGTATGTCCTGGAATCAGCCTTATCCGGTGATGCTGCTCAAAAAAATTGAACTACCCGATTTTAAATTAACAAATTTTAGTGTAATTGCAGTGGAACAGGTATCATTTTAATATGAGATATGTAAAAAAAAAAATGGCACAAAATATGACATAGAATATTATGTATTCATAATAAATATTTGAAAATTATAAAAATTATATATTAAAATAATCAATAAAATTTCTATAATATTGATTTTTTGATTTTTTTATTTCCACGAATATTACTGAAATTATTAAATATAAAAAGAGAAAAATTGATTTTGTAAAATTTTTAAAATTCTAAAAATAATTCCAAATTATTACAGATATATCCAGCAGGTCATTGGGATGAATTAACTGTTTCATTTGTCTTCAAAAGACGATATGGTTGGTATATCCTTCAAGGGTATATTCCCACTTATGTCACCATTTTCATTTCATGGATTTCGTTTTATCTTGGATCGAGGTTCATGTATATCTTTAGTATATTTCTCGGTATCAATACAATTCGCATCAACACTTCATTTGCATACAAACTATATGACGGGCACTTTTTTTTTTTTTTGGCACCATTATTTGTTCCTTTTTTTTTTTTTTTTTTGGTATATTTCCATTAATGTTATGCATTTAATTTTTTGGATAATTAAAGAAAAAAAAAAAAGCGATTTTTTTTTTTTTCAGAGCTATTCCAGCACGAACAATGTTGGGAGTTAATTCATTATTAGCAATGACATTCCAATTTGGTAATATTATCCGAAATTTGCCTCGGGTTTCATATGTTAAAGCAATTGATGTTTGGATGTTAAGGTATTTTATTTTTTAAAAATTTGAAAATTTAAAAAAAAAAGCAACTTAATTTATGATCTGAGGTAGTAAAATTTTAATTTTATTTTTATACGACAAAATTTTACAACAATTTCAGTGGTATGATGTTTATTTTTTTATCATTACTGGAATTAGCAGTAATTGGTTTTATGTCACGAAATGAAGCTGCACCAAAACAATTAAAAAAACGAAGTGTTATTTCCAATAATTTAACATGGAATGAAATGCCTAGTCCTAGAATAGGTTTACGTCAGGTTAGTAATTATAAATTTAATCCATCTTCTAAATTCATTAATTTTTTCCAAATTAATCATTAATTATTTCTAAAATTGAAAAGGAATGAGTTTTTTTTTCTTTTTTTTTTTTTTTATAGCTAAAATTTGCATTTTAATAAATGCATTATTTGACAAACGTTGTTTCTTTTTTTTTTTCTTTTATAGTATTGGGTTGATCAGCGATCTACAGCTTCATTTATGGATAATAATGAGGTAATTTCATTTATGTTTCTAGTAATTTTTAAATTAATTATATGAAAAATTGGAGAAATTTAGAAATTTTAATTTGAGTTAATTTCGATGCAATTAATTTTAATTCTTTTTTTTTTTTTGCAGCTAACAAGACGAGCGTTACCGTCGAATTCTCAT